CGCATGCCTTTAATCCCAGCACTCGGGAGGCAGAGGCAGGCGGATCTACGTGAGTTTGAGGCCAGCCTGGTCTACAAAGTGAGTTCCAGGAAAGGCGCAAAGCTACACAGAGAAAGCCTGTGTCGAAAAACCAAAAAAAAAAAAAGTCTTTTAACAAGCTCTAACTCTACTATATACAGTGGTTTGTCCTGGTTTATCTAAGGAGGAAGAGCATCCCTGCTGCTGTGGGTGGTAGTGTGGAGGCTGTTTCCACCCTTGCTACCTCTGATAGGTACATGTGTTGGGGAGAAACTCTGTGCATACTAGTATACACATGCATACATATATTTACACATGTATAATATATACATGTATACATGTTTATATGTGCATGCACACAAACTCAGTTTTGGTAGTGTCTGAGGTTTTAAGAATTTACTGAGTATCCTGGAATGTGTGACTTGTGGATATGGAGAACTACTATAATTCAAATATATTAGTTACTTTTCTGTGGCTATGATAAAACACTAAAAGCAACTTAAGGAAGACAGTTTATTTTAGGTGACAGTTGGTGGGGAAGAGTTCATCATGATAGGACAGAGGCACAGCAGCAAGTGACAAGCTTGGTGGGAGGGGCAGGAAGCTGAGAGCTCATATCTTAAAATGCAAGCATGGAAGTAGGGTGAGACTATAAATCTCGATGCCTGCCCCTAGTAACATACTTTTTCCATCAAGACTGCACCTCTTAAACCTCCCCCAAACAACACTACCAACTGAGAATCAAGTGTTCAAATGTCTGAGTCTATGTGGGACATTTCTCATTCAAATTACTGCACCAATCAAATTGTGCCTCCTAAGAAATGTTTTAGTCCGTATTTGATATTTGTTTTGAACCCTAGCAGACTCTTCTGATCTATTTCATTCGCTAATTCTCTCTTGCATGTTTGCTGTTGATAGTCTAGGCTGTGTTGTCATTAGATCTACTAATCTCCACCCAAGTCCCTTCATTCTAACTTGACTTCTTTGTGAGAGCTCTTACACAGTTGCAAATGAATTCAGGTCCTTTGAGAAGAGAACAGGAACAATCCATTTTATAACGTGGTTATCTCTGCCCCCCCCCCATCTTCAATCCTGATACTGAGGCTCTGAGCTGGAGGTAGGGACAATGTCAAGCCTCCCTACGAGTGAAGCAAATACGGTGGGGGCTGAGCATCCAGTGGAGGGGCTGCAGTGGCCAGAGTTCTTTTCCCTTTGCCTCTCCTGATACGGAACCAGGATTTCCTAAGCTCCTCAAGTTAGATCTATTTTACAAGTAGACAATAGAAGTTCTACCTACTGACCACATTGCCCTGGCTTTAACTTGACAATAGGGTTTTACTCTTCCTATGAAGAATGCCCTCCAGCTTGCCAGGAGCTAGTCAAGGGTGTGCCTTCATGAGTCTAGAACGAAGTTTGCACATCACTGAGCTGGGAGGGGGACTGGAGGAAGAGAAGAACAACGCTACTTCACAAACTCTAGCAGATATTTTAAAATTTTTATTTGCTTTTTATGACCATCCCAAGATACTTTCGATGCTGTACTTTTGAAGTACTAGCTCACTTAATTCACTCATTGTACTGGGAAGCAGGTTAGCAGAGCTGCTCCCCCTGTCATCCCAGAAGTCTTTCTTAAAGACCCATGCTTAAATCTCTTCTTGTTAACTTGTCTAGATCCATTTCCTTAATCTTATCCTATATCACATGCCTTTAAATGTCAATTATGCAACTAAAGTTTTTCAAAATGATATATTCTATAAGAATCCACGTCCCTCAATGTGAGTTCCATATCTAACTTGATTGTCATTGGCACTTGGGTATCTAATAGGTACCTCAAATTCATCATTTTTAGATTGGGATTGTTGCTCAATACCTCACCCTAAATCTTGCTCTAGCTATAGTCAATAAAGAGAAATTATCTATCTTTTGTTCTGGTCAAAAAGCTTAGGGCCATTCTTAACTCTTCCTCTTACTGCACATTCAATCTACCGGCAACATTTATAGACTTTATACACAAATATTTGACCACTTCAAACCAACATGGCCAAGTCAAAGTCACCTCTTCTCTGGATTACTGCAATACCTTTCCAACTGACCTTTGACCTACCGCCAACAATCTTCTTCCTTGTATCGCCTGACAGCCCAGTATGAACCACTTCAAACCTCAACTGTATCCTCCTCTCACAACCACCTGGAGTCCGAGAAAATGCCCCTGTCCTCAGAGTGTGCTCAGTGAGTCACAATAGTCTTCTCCCTGTCCACTTTACTCTGTGACCTCATTTCATTACCGTCGGCTCTCACACTCATTCTGCACCACCCTGTTTACTCTACCCTTTTACACATGGCTTTCTCCCAGGACCTTTGTACTTTGTCACTCTGCCAGGGACACTCTTCCTTCACCTATTTCTGCAAATTGTACTTTTCCTTCTTTCATGTCTTTGTTCTTGTTTTTAGCAGCACTGGGGATGGAATGCAGTGCTGTATGCATGTTAGATGAGTGCTGAGATCAATCCCCCTGTCTCCAGCTCTTTCTTCTTACAGAATCTTTTCAACAAGCCTTTTGTAAATCACTCCCATTTTAACCTGATGTCCTCTCTCTGCTGTCACTGTTTTAGTGTGGATCTGAAATGTCCCTGCAGGCTCGTATATTGAATACTTTCTTTCTAGCTAGAGCACTACTTTGGAGGTTGTGTACCTAAATGGTGGAAGTAGGTCACTAAGAACATGCCACTACAAAAAA